AGTCGGCCTTGTCCACATCCCCAGAGGCAACATCCTGGAACTCAACCCAGAGATGATTTGCCAAGTAATCCTCCTGTGTCTCGGCTGGATCTACTGCGGTGGAGTCCAAGTCCGACCGAAATTGGGAGCCTTTGCATACCTTAGGGTTGTACATCACTTATGCCCATTCTTGGATTGGATGTTTTGCTCACAGTCACTGATGCCACCATGACCTCTCATTTGGATGACTGCCATGCACTCTACACGGGGCTGCCCTTTCATGTTTCTATAATAAACAGAATCAGCTATAGAAATCAAATGTCTTTTTCTGTTCTAGTTCTATGTGTAAAGAACATGTTGCAGGAACTTGATGCCAGCATTGTATCCAAGGAGAACTTTGCACATGTGAAAATGGCTGAAAGAGAAAAAATTATAACAGGACAGAAAACTGAGATAGAGCGACTAGAGAAGAAAGCAAAAACTCTGGAATATAAGGTTTCTATTTACTGTTTGATGATTAAGTATAGCACTCATTTGTAAATATTTCTGCTCAGAAATAAAATCTTGGATTGCTGAAGTAGTTCTCCATTTGTTGATGGATTGTAATTTCTTGACATGAGGCAGACCTGAGAGGTTAGCAAGCTTCTACGATAATGGGCGACATCATGCATTCTGTGCAATACCACAAGGGCTGACACATTTTGAACACTAAAAGGGAGACACCAATTTACCCAACAAGTTTGAAAACATAATTTTTGCAACCATCATCAACTGTTTGCTAACTGTGATGGTTGCTAACTACTTTTATGATATCAGTTGCAACGCAGGGTCTTGCTTTGCCAAAAAACAAAAAAGTTGTGCTAAATTTTGTGGAGGTGAGTTTTCAGAATAGCAATAGCACTTAGACTTTTATCTGCTTCACAGTGCTTTATAGCCTGTCTAAGTGATTTACAGTGCAATCATTGTTCCCAACAATCTGGGTCCTCATTTTACTGATCTCAGAAAGTTGGAAGGCTGAGTCAAGCTTGAGCCATTGAGAATTGAACTGCTGAACTACCAGAGGTAGCCAGCAGTACTGCAGTCCAACCACATTGCAATCTCTCATGCCAGATTGACATCCTGGAGAAAACAACAGCAATTTATGAAGAAGAGAAGCGCAACCTGCAGCAGGAACTAGAAAGCAAGAGTCAAAAGCTGCAGCGTCAAGTTTCAGACAAGCGTCGACTAGAAGCTCGTTTACAGGGCATGGTGACAGAGACAACAATGAAATGGGAAAAGGAATGTGTGAGTATGACTGGTTTACTGAACCACAGGGCTGGGAAAAAGCCATTTCCTTTTAGAAGACATCGCTGGAAGGGTTTAATGCCATCTCTGGAAAGTCTGGCTGATTTATTTGATTGTCATATAATTTAACAATAAATTATTGCTATAATTTATTCATGCAAGAGTTAAGTAAACAGTTGGCAGCAATATTTTTTTAAAAAATAAAGAAAAATAAATGGAAACATACAGTAAATGTTGTAATTGCAATAAATGTTCAGAATAACAGAGTTGGAAGGGACCTTGGGGGTCTCCCAGTCCAACCCCATATTCAAGTAGGAGACCCTATACTATTCCAGACAATCTCTTCTTAAAAGGCTCCAGTGATGAAGCGCCCACAACTTCTGAAAGCAAACTGTTCCACTAGTTAATTGTTCTCATTGCTAGGAAATTTCTCCTTAATTGCAGATTGCTTCTCTCCTTGATTAGTCTCCATCCATTGTTTCTTGTCCTCCCTTCTAGTGCTTTGGAGAATAGGTTGACCCTTCTTTGTGGCACCCCCTCCCCCATCTTATTTTGGAATACTGCTACCGTGTTTCCCCAAAAATAAGACCTAACCGTAAAATATGCCCTAATGCATCCTTTGGAACAAATTAATATAAGACCCAATCTTATTTTCACAGAAACATGGTATCACGTCACCTCAAGTCTTTCTTTTCACTAGACTAGACATACCCAATTCCTGCAACCACTCATCATATGCTAATCATCTTGTTGCTCTCTTCTGCACTCTAATATAGTGACTAAAACTGGATGCAGCATTGTAAGTGTGGTCTTACTAAGGCTTTATAAAGCGGTACTAGTACTTCATATTATCTTGATACTATCCCTGTTTAATACGGCCCATTTTTGGCTACTGCCACAGAATTCTGGCTCATATTTGAGTGATTGTCCTCCAAGATGCCCCTCACAGTTATTGTTATTGAGCCAGGTTTCACCTAATCTGTACCTGTATATTTGATTTTTCTTTCCTAAGTGTAAAACCTTACTTTTCTCTACATTGAATTTCATTTTGTTAGATAGGACCCAATGTTCAAGTCTCAAGATCCATCTGGATTTTGACCCTATCTTCAGGGGTGTTGACTATTCCTGTCAGTTTAGTATCATCTGTAAATTTGATGTGTTCCTCTTCTATTCCATCATCTAAATCATTTATGAAGATGTTGAAGACACATCTGAAAACTGTCAGCAAGTTATAAATCCACCTGGTGGTGATACTGTCTATCCTACATGTTTTTAGCTTACCACGAAGTAGGTTATGGTCTACTTTGTCAAATGTCTTACTGAAATCCAGGTATACTATCTCCACTGTATTTCGCTGGTCTACTAATTTAGTGACTTTCTCAAATAATGAAATAAGATTTGTTTGGCATGATCTGTTTTGGACAAACTGGTGTTGGCTTCTGATTAGAACTTTGCTTGCATCTAGGTGTTCACAGATTTGTTGTTTGATTATCTTTTCCAGGATCTTCCAGGGACAGAGGTTAGGCTGATTGGTCCGTAGTTTTCTGGATCTGTTTCCCCCCCCCCCTTTTTTTGGGGAAGATGGGAATCACATTAGCTCTTTTCTAGCCCTGTGATAGTTCTCCGGTGCCCCAAGCTCTATGGAAGATATGGTTCAAGGGTTCCGAGATCACATCTGCCGTCTCCTTTCAGAACTCTGGGATGTAATTTAATTTGAAGTCATTTAGAGCAGACACGTGTTCTCTTCCCATTTCTCTTGCTTATTTTAATTTGTATTCCTAGTCTGTCTTTAACAGTTATGGTTTGGTAGGTTGGACTATTTTTTGCTTTTGTGTCAAAACAAAAACAAAGCAAAGAATGAATTAATCAGCTCTGCCTTCTCTCTACTGCTTGTCACTTCCTTGCCGCCTTCTCTCATTAGTGGACTGATTGTTTCCATGACTTTTTTTTATATGTTGAAAGAACCTTTGTAATTATTTTGTCATTTGTTGCAAGTCTTGCTGGATTCAGAAGCAGAGAACACTTGTGACCCCAAGATGACATTGCAAGGTTGCTCAGATTTAAGACCAGGTAACATGGCTGACAGGTGGCTCAGGTAGAGATGGCCCAAAATAAAAGGTTAATTTGGGCCAAAGCTGATGCAAAGGCAATATTAGATTGCCTTAAAACAGAGAATGCTACCAAGTGGACTAGAACAATCCAGTCATCATCTACTGACTGGCTCTGTAACATTCTGAAGGAACACCTAACAATGAAACCTGCTACAAAAAGTGCCCAAGTGGGTGGCCCCCATTGGTTTGATCCTGAATGCCAGCGGCTGAAGAAGAAACTGAAGGCAGCCATGAGGCTTGCCCAGAGGAATCCCACTGCTCAAACACAAGCTGAGATGTTGCACACAAGAAGGGAATATAAAAACATCATAACATTAAAGAAAAAAAGTTTTGCCATTTCAATCTGGTCAGAACTTGAGTTGGCTGCCAGAAATCATAATTCAGGAACATTTTGTACTCTGTAGCAGGTTCCTGAAGGAACAGAGATTTGCGTTCGACATACCAATCTCTGCTGAGGACTGGGAGAATTATTATCAGTGTTTGTTTGCTTCCACGGAACCTGTAGAGAAACGGGTCTTTAAGCAGTGATCTAGCAAACCCTAGAACTCTCCCCCCAAGGGGAGGCAAGACAAGGGTGTATCCTGGCCCCATCATTTTTTAGTGTATATATCAACGACATGCCAGGGTACACATGCTGATGATCCTAAATACTTACTATAACAGCTTGCTTTATGCTGATGATATGGTTTTATTATCATATTCGCTAGTAGGATTACGTAAGCTATTAAGAAGATTCAGCTCTTATTGCCAGGATGACTCCCTAATTATCAGTAAATCTAAATAAAAAATAATGTTGTTTGGAAAACACCATCAGAGACATAGGTGGCAATTAGATGGTGAACCAATTAAACAGTATATTTGTATATTTGTATACTTTTTCCAAGACTGGATCTTGGGCTTGCCATCATCAACAGAGTACATTTAGACAAAAGCTTGTTTGAATTTATTGCTTAAACTAAAGGACCATAGTTCCCCAGGTTTCCCAGCCCATTAATCAAGGTTTATAAAGCTAAGGTTATCCCTATGCTCTTGTATGGAGCAGAGGTTTGGGGTCTATATTCAACCACAGCCCTAGAACAAATACAGTCCCAGCACTTGAGATGTATTTTGGGTGTAGATCCAAGAACATCTACTGCAGCAGTTAGAGCTGAATTGGGAATTCATACAATTCATGCACTATCCAAAATTAGAGCATATAACTACTGGTGCAAAGTCAATGAAATTGAGGCTGATAGACTCCCCAAGTTATGTCTACTACAGCAAATAAAATTACAAACACAAATCTCCTAGATCACCAAACTAACAAATTTTGTAAGAAGCTCTGGCCTTTCTGTCTCTTGCGTAATATGAGAACAAAAAAAGAGCTGCCCAAATAATCAAGGATATAGAAGCACAAAATGACAGAGCTATCCTTAGTAAGATGTGTAATTTGAAATGGCTGAGTAAATACAAACATACTTTCAAGTAGACGGCGATTTGAAGTTACAACTGCCAAGACATCTTGGGGAGATATTTACGGGAGCGAGATTCAAACAGCTTGACCCAATGGTCAGATTGGGGAGATTCCATTCTATATTCTACAATGAGCGTCTCTGCATTTGTGGAGCGGAAGAAGCAGAAGACCTGGCTCACATCCTATTGGATTGTTGCTTGTATAAGGGGGTGAGAGACGGGGACCTTGGTCTATATACCAAAGGAATAACCCATTGGGATCCCCCATATCAAAACAACTCATGTGCAGCCAGAACGGAAAAATAACTTTTAACACAGCACAGTGCTTTAACAAAATGTTTCGGTTGAGATCTGCATATGTGGGACTGATTGGGGTGACACCAAAATATAATTTTATCATATTTTATCTATATCTTAATTTTTTGTAATCTATTCCAATTTCATTTTAATCCCAATTTTATCCCAATTCCATTTTAAATTGTATTTTATCAAATTTTAGTAATAATTTGTTTCTGGATCTTTGCATTTTGATATGGCTAATTAATAAAACTCAATGCATAACTTTTATCTAAATTAATGATGCTTATACATGTAGATTGAATTCAGTAAAATTGGTGATCTCACCCTTACAGCACCAGATTCCTCAAGATTCACTTGTGCTATGGTAGCACAATTGTTCTGCTTTGGGACAATAGTGGATAAAATTAAGTATTCTAACCAAGGCCTTTCAGTAATTAAGCTTAATGTGCTCTAATATTTTAACAAAACAAAATAAAACTCAGAGCCACCTAAAATAAAACAAAATGGCTGAAAAGTTGCCCTCCTTGTTATGGTGGTTGTGTTACGGCATCCTTGCTGTGCTTGGGCAATTGTTAAAGACTTGAAACAGCACTGCTGAAAATTTAGCCATTCAGTGATTGTCAACCAGAATGTATCCCTTAAGCCAGGAGGGGCAACAAGGTGCCATTCAGATGTTGGGCTGTAGCCTCTGTCTTTTGTCATGGTGGTAAGACCATGATTAGGCATTCATTAATGTCTAAAGAGGGAGATATTGTGGGTCTTGTTTTAAGGCAAGTGTAGCCAGCATTACTGAACCATAGGCTGCATTTCCTTGGAATACAAATATGTGGCCATAGCTGGAAATAGTAGGTTTCAACCCATGCCTTCATTTTCTGACAACTGGTATGTCTTCTTACGACTTAACTAAAATTACTTTGAAGTAAAAATATTTCTTTATTTTTGTCCATTAAAATTACTGGCGTTACTGTTTTCCTGCCGTATAGTATAGTAACGTAGCTGATAATTTTTCAGAATGTAATATTTCAACAGGCATCTATTTCACTTTAGAGACATGTCCTCCAATCAAAAACTCATCAATCAGTTAATATTGCATTGGTTAGTATATCATGTGTAATGGTAGCCTTCCTTCTTACCATGCAGGAGCGGCGTGTGGCAGCCAAGCAACTGGAGATGCAGAATAAACTTTGGGTGAAAGATGAGAAACTAAAGCAGCTGAAAGCCATTGTCACAGAGCCTAAGAGTAACAAACCTGAGAGGCCTTCCCGGGAAAAAGATCGGGAGAAAGCTCTACAAAGATCATTGTCTCCTCCCCCAGTACTTGTAAGCTTCTTTTGAGAATGAATGTGCACATTAGCCACTGTGGCAAGTGAATCTGGGCAGTCAAACTCCTGTGGCTGGGAGACTATACTTCAGCCAGGAGAATTCTCTGAAAGCCACCTCCTTGAATTAGCTTTGAATCTTTCTATTTATGCATGTTTTCTCTTTCTAACTCTGCTTAGTACAGAACAGAAGGAGATGGGGCTGAATCCTATGAAGGTTTTGTCGTGGTGTTCTTTTCTTTTTGCCTTATTCACTAACTGCACCTTTCTTCAGTTTTCTAGTAACTGTATCCCTCACCTGCCTAACAACCATGATCTCCCTGCCAGAAGCCAGCCACAGCTGCATAGGCGTTCAAATTCTTGTAGCAGCATTTCCGTGGCTTCCTGCATCTCGGAATGGGAGCAGAGAACACCTACTCAGCACAGCAAGCCTCCTGACAAGGGTGACAATGGCCTCCCTAGAGCCAGGAGTAGACTACAGGAGCCAGAACAAGCCAGGCCCTGGGTCATGTCAGAGAGAAGGCGGGGCATGTGCTGGACAGGACTTCTGGCAGCTTCCAGCACTAGAGAGCCCCTAGAGCTAGAAGAGGACTTGTGCTGCAGGGTCAGTGTTATGTAACAGCTGTGGTTACCCCTGGCTGAATGGCTGGTAATGGTGGGCACAGCCATTCATGACTGAGAAACATACCTCACCCCCAGGGGAGTTGCAGACACAGAACAAGAGAACGGCTGTAGATTCACGCTTCTTTTTAAAAGACGGGCTAATCTGAAGCAGCCTCTTGCTGCCCAGGCCAGCTGGGGTCAATAATAGCAATAATAGCAATAACAGTAGACTTATATACCGCTTCATAGGCCTTTCAGGCCTCTCTAAGCGGTTTACAGAGTCAGCATATTGCCNTCAGGCCTCTCTAAGCGGTTTACAGAGTCAGCATATTGCCCCCAACAACAATCCGGGTCCTCATTTTACCCACCTCGAAAGGATGGAAGGCTGAGTCAACCCTGAGCCGGTGGGATTTGAACCACTGAACTGCTGATCTAGCAGTCAGCCTGCAGTGCTGCATTTAACCACTGCGCCACCTTGGCTCAAGGGTCAAGGGTCTCCATCAGGCTGATTGGTCATCCTGTGAGGTTCTGTCCCCTCCTCTTGCCATTTGGACACTATCCTGATGTCTTCACATTAATTGACAATGTGTTTGTGTTTACGTACTTGTTTACTTGACAAATCTTTAATTTTGGGTAATTAGTTTGAATCAAACTAAGTAGAAATTAGCTTCTCAAGTAAATCTCAAATTAAAAAACACACTTATTTTGGAACTTCAAAGAAATTCTGATATCTTGCAGTGATGCCCTTAATAGTAAAGGCTGCAGGTCTTTAGTAAAAATAGTAAGGTCACTTAGGCCTGAAGGGGATTGCTACTTTGCAGCTTGGGAACGGCTTACTACTCCCTGCCTTTTTTCTATGCTCATAATCCTAAGTGGAAAGTGCACTTTTGTATTTTATGTGTATGTGCATACATAAAATGATCTTTGAATGATCTTTGAATGATCTTTGAATGATCTTCTGGACCATGCCCTGCTATTCTGCATTGCTCGGGGATGCAGAGTGCATAAAAGCAGAATCTTTGGGGTATGGCCTCAAAATGTGGCATTCTTTGCTCTCTTGGTGCTTCCGATTTCTTTGATTTTTACCTGCTGAAGCCTGGAAGGATCTTAAACTACTGACCCAAATTTATTGACAGAGGGCTTCGGCTAATCTGCAGTTGTCAATGTGTGCTTGTTTTTCCTCTTCCTATAATACAAATAATCCCATATACACCTCCAGTATAATCTCAATAGCATATGTTGGGTTAGGGTTAACTTGCTCAACTGTCCCTGAGATAAGCTTAGGAAACTTGCCTACTAATTTTATGAACTTCCTTTGCTGATCTCCCAGAATGCTCCTCCTGTCCGCCTTCGCCACAGACGGTCTCGCTCAGCAGGAGAGAGGTGGGTGGATCATAAACCACCTTCTAATATCCAGACTGAAACAGTCATGCAGCCACAGGTCCCCCATGCCATCATGGTGACCTCTGCAAACGAGAAGGCCCTGGCCAAGTGTGACAAGTACATGCTGACCCACCAGGAGCTGGCCTCGGATGGGGAGATTGAGACCAAACTGATCAAGGTAAACTGTTAGGCAGCCCAGGAGACTCTTGCTATCCTTGGAGCATTCTGTCTTGTGCATCAAGTTTCTACAGAGCCCTCCAAGAAAGTGGCCTTGACCACAAAGTACATGTTTCTTTTTATTCTGCTACATCATTCTCCACACTGCAACCAGGGGGGCTTTTCTACAATTCCTGGTGCTGTTGGGCGGAAGTGTTAAACTGGAGCAAGGCTGGCTGTAGTCTTGAATTCCTTGCCAAGTGGTCTGGGGCTCTCTGCTCAACCATCTCGGATTTCTATAAAATTTGGTGTGAACATACACACACGTTCCCAGCGAACATTGGTAAAGTGTTATGTTTGCCGATGCAATATTTGCGGAAATATAGTCATTTGTTTGACCCTGTACTGCAGCCTTCTACAGTAGGACTCTGAGGTTCCAGAACTTTGAGACATAATATCTCCAGCAATATTTTGTTGAGAGAAACACAATTTGGCCATCTTGGACAACATTTTGTGCTCTATTAAACACAATAATAAAAACATTCTCATGAGCGATCTTCATCTAGATAATTTGCAGCAAAGTTGGCTGAAAATTACTGTTGCTCGAAAAAAGGTTAAAGTTTGGCTTTTTATATCTGGAAGGAAAGGTATGAGAAATGTGAAACTTTGTGTGTAATAACATAGCCACACAAGGTTTTTGAGTATAAAATTTCATTCTCCTGCTTTCCAAAAGTTCATAAACTGAGTATAAAGTTGACGTTTTTGTAAAAATGCCAAAAATAAAGTATTTTCAGCCCTTTTTCAGCTTTTACAAAACAAGATCATCTGGAAACTCTGTGAAATCATTCTAATTAGAAAGAGCAGAACTACATCTTATTTGCGTGCTTCCAGCGCCTTCAGGTTGACAATGTCAATTCCCAGAAGCAACACTAAAGAACATGGCGCATAAATTCAATAATAAATAAGCAATCGTTCATATGAACAGTATGGACTTTGGCTTGGGAACCATATAAAATACCCATTTTAGGCTTGGATAAGCTGCTCAGTTGCCGGCCTGGTTTTTTTTTACCTTGACTTTTCTAAAATCAGACCACTTGACATGGAATGACCTTATGATTTGTTACTCAAGGCGGTAGAAACCCAGTGGAGCTTTTGTTGTCTGTGGGCTTTATTCCTGTAAAATGGGTATAATTTAGTTGGTTTGTACTTCTGGGAGATCAGAAAAAGAGCCTTTTCTTCTAGCTTTAACTTACATATGTATAAGAATGTAATGAGAATAAGTTATTACATTGTCAATTGTGCCAATTTCTCTTTTCAAAGATTTTCTGAAATAGATTTTGTTTTCAAAGGGCGATGTTTTCAAGACCAGAGGAGGTGGACAGGCTGTTCAGTTCACTGAAATAGAGACCTTGAAACAAGAGTCACCAACAGGGTGAGTCACAACCAACCCAAACGGTTTTGCCCTTTCATGTTTCAGTTCAGTGGGAGTGGAAACTGATGTGATTCCTGGGTGTTAATGGAGATGATGATCAGGCCTTCAATCTTTTGTGCATGACTGAATAATCTGGGTTCCGAGAAGGCCAGGAACTCCCGTAGGTATCTTCTGCTCCTGGGTAAAATTGTAAAAATGCAATTTTTACAAATGAAATTACAAATTGGAAATATCCCCAGGTTAATATAAAATAAGGGCAGACTCAATTGATGCCAGCCTTTCCCTCATTCTGTGCCTGGAACTTTCAAGCAGGAGATTAACCTCGGAACTATTTCAAACCTTAGCAACCTTTTTCTTTTCTATTCTTCCAGACGCAAGCGGCGGTCGTCTCCCTCAAGCCCTCGCCTCCCCGAGGAGGCTTCGGAGTCAGAATGGACTGATGTAGAAACACGGGTACGTCAGGAGTGTCTTTGGCAGAGGATGGGATGGGTGTTCCCGAGTCACCTCCTGACAGCTTCCCTTGTCTTTTTTTTTGGCCAGTGTTCAGTCGCAGTGGAGATGAAAGCAGGTTCCCACCTTGGGCCTGGCTATCAACATCATGCTCAGCCCAAGTAAGTTCTCCGTGTTCCTCTCATCCTGCAAACCTATCAAGTACCCAGCTTCCTCCAAAGCTCCCGAGAGAGGCTGGGTACTTGATAGGATCTGGGTGCTGGTGTGGGAGTCGGATAAAGAGCTAGTGCTTAGGACTGAAAATAGACTTCACTATTGAGGTTTGGCCTCTTGCAGATAAGTGCTGGCTATGCTGTGGAAGTGATCTGTTCAGCTCAGGGAAGAACACTGACAGTTGTGCAAGGCAGGAAAGAGGGCATCCGAGGTAACAAGAGGTCAATGCGAGTTCTTTAAAATCAGAACCTGCCAGTTATTGGTTTTCTAGCTACAGGGAGGGATGGATTGTACAACCAGCTTGTTCTCCATGCAACTCTCCCTGGTGGCGCCTGAGTTTCTGTTTCACACACTCCTTTCATTCTATTATGCAGCGGTTTAGGCTCTAAGTCTTTCTGGGATGCTGACTCTTCTTGGCACATTATTCCATTTTTCTCTCCCTCCCCCCCTGCCCCCGCCCCAGTGTCCATGTAACAAAGGGCAGTAGAAGATAGAAGTGTTGGTGACCAAAGACTGGGGCCCAGTGCCACTCTTCTGAGGGAAGAGAGTCGTGTGCTCCCAGCAGGATCACTGCTGGGAGGGGAAATTGAGTTTCTGTCAGCTTCTGCCTTGCTACTGCTTCAGCTGTCATGAAACGGGGAGGGAGGGTTTGGTATTTGGGTGGGGTTATTCGATGTGCTGGAGGAATGCTGACAGTTTCAGCCCAATGTTAAGCTATCTGTTTGTTTGTATAGAACTGCAGCCTTTTTGAGCATGATTGGGGATTACAGTCTTGTCCTTTCTT